GATTTTCATTTAGAGGAGGCTTCAATTAAAACAAAACACACCAAGAAGCCAGAGATGGTAATCCAGGGCTTGTTATTAGCGAAGCAGTGCACAGTTCTGGCGGGAACAATAATGTCTGTACACAATTTGATGTGGTCGGTGATGCAGTTAGCGATTCTGAGTAGACATCCCACCAACTTCTAAGCACTTCGAAGCCTCAGTATACAGCCTACCAAGTTTATTTCTGAATATCATGTTTTATTTTAATAGGATCATAAACAGTAGAGAGAGCAGGAGACTCAGACAAAGCCTCAGGATTTCAAATAAGATCTTACTATAACTTACTATTCAATAGTGAAAAGGTAAGATTTTTGTTTGAGGCTTACTGCGCCTTCATAACAGAATGTGTCATTGTATTAGCAGCAGGAAACTGCAGACAAGCAGTCATTCAAGGACAACTGAAGTTGCAAAACTCTTGTAAACAATATTTAACTTGGGGGAAAAAAACTACAAACAATATCACACCAAAGCAACACAATATTGTACCACAAATGGACTAAATATTAATGCACTGCATCTACACAAACAATATGACATCATTATTGTGTGTGTATCTCAATCTGCCTTTATGTGTGTGTGTGCGTAGACATATCTCATCTGCTGGCACCCATGAAGACTTCTTCCTGGCCATTATATCAGAATGAAAAGTCATCACTCCTCTTGCCCTTCATAGATTTACTGCAGTGCCTTATGCATTTGACTGCATCGCTGTAATTTGTGGTGAGTGTCACAAGCCTGTTAAGGTCAGAGGACACACTGTGTTTGGTAAACTGAGACTGTGTGAAACACTTTAGGAGAACAACAACCCTACTGGACCTCAGCCTCCAGGGGAAGCAGCCTGAATACAGATTCATTTACTCATTTATAAAAGAGTCTGCCAAGCGAGTGAGTCATTTTTACTGTCACACAACACAGAGAAAAGACTATTCACTCACAGCAGCAGCAGCTCATACAGTAAGTTAATGGCAGTGCAACAGAGATGTCGTTCTTTCATCTGTTACTTATGTGTAGATAAATGTTTCCATCGCATACTGTTCAAGGAAACCGTACAACCTCATTACTTGTGTCATTCAGACAGTCCCATTCATCTTATTTGTAGGTCATTCACACTACAAATACAACTTAGATGTCTAATTGTGCCGACTGGCATTTTTCTAAATAAGTGTTTATTTCATAACATGAATTTCCTTGATTTTGCCCTTGCAATTCATAATATGCCCCCATGATGTCGCCCCTGCCTTTGTTTTCACTTCACTGAGTTCACAAGTGAAGCTCACTCAGGTGTGTGAGTTGGTTTTACACACACACGCGGTGCTGTCAAAAGTATAAAACTGAATTTTTCAATGGCCAAAGCTTAAAACATTACTGAACTAAATAAAGGCTGAATCACATGATGTACACATGTTGTACTGTAAAAATAATAAAATAAATAATATTCTTAGTATATTTTATATATTCAATTTTCTACATGGTTGGTATAATCTAGTTCAATAGTTATAAAACCTGGGTTCGGAATCATCATAGTTCAAGAGGTTATCAGATACAATGTCTGTTTTTTATTATTTATAATTTTTTTAAGTTTTCTTTTTAATATTCTCTTTTGAAATATTCAATATATCCACCTCCTGAGGGCTGTGAAAATTAATCATTGTTTTGGAAGTGATAAAAAAAGTCACTTCAAATGAGAACTTAAACTTTTGCTCTGTGTTACAGTTTATACAGTGCCATGCTTCTGAACCTGTCTAATACATGTAACGCTTTGTGACACACTAGGAGATCAGGGTTTACCCACATTGTAAAACATATTGGTGTTATAGACCACCTGCTCTGCAAGTCCTCTGCAGGAAAAGACTACAGTATTGCATCCAGTTTCTGCTTTGAAAGCCTTGTATGTTACCTTTTGACTTTTATGTGGAACCATGTTGTTTTTGTGCACTGATGTCC